CCCCAAAACCCCAAAACCCCAAAACCCCAAAACCCCGCATATGTAATTAATGATATTTATCTTTAGTTTAAGAAATTAATTAAAATATATGTTAAATTCTCTTTATATGCTTGTAGAAAACAAATATACTTACTTAAACATAACCATTAAAATAAGAAAATAAACCTATATTATCAATGAGCCTCATTGGCCTGGAGGTAAACTTGATTAGCTTGACAGAATGTCATCTGATTATATTGTAACAGAACTTGAACTCTTCTCAGGAGATACTAAACTAATTTTTCTTTGCTTGCTATTTCTAAATATCTTATGATTTTCTCTTATCATAAAGCATAAAAGATCTGTAAAGACTCTCCACATCACCATATCATTAGAACTTAGCTCATTTTATCTAAATATAATGTCTGAAAATATTGTAGCAAGATTTTTTATGTTCATCTAAAATATTCATGAATTTTAAATTGAAATTACCTTGTTGGATGCTTGGTGCTCAGTTATTACGAAAAAAAAGTGCAAAATAAATTTCCAAGTTTATTGATACACAGGTTCCATCTCTGAGATGACCTATTGAATATGCTTTATAATCTTGTCAATTGAGTCCAAATATAATCTCTCGCATATCTTCTTGAATTTTTTATAACCTTTATATGTACACAATGGCTCCTCCATATACTTCAACACACTCTTGAAATAGCAACCTACAATCGTAGGATCTCCCATTTAATTCAAATACTGATAATCCCCGATTGAGATATGCTGCTCTAGATTATCAACTAGCCTCAGACTTTCAATATCTTACTTTTTAAACAGATCTTTAGTCTTAAATCTGGTTTCATCTTGATCAAAGTAGTTGTAAATTTGAACGAATACTTAAGGTATATTACTATCGATTAAGGTGTCAGATTCATAGATTTAGTTTTCAATGCTCATTTTATAAAATTACCTCAGATTTTTACCAATCACGTCATGAGTATTATTAATACTAGAAAGTGACTCATTACTTGATTATGTAGATAACTCATTAGGTCCCTAAGCATATTTCTTAAGAAATTCCGGAGATTAAAAATCTACATTTGGATTAATTATAGAATTAGTCAGTTATATCAACTCAGGGTAGTCCTTTTACTATGAAATTAGCTCACTTTGGAAAATCTGGCTAACTGATGGCGGTAATTATTGAATGAATTTAATATACATTGATTTATCCAACTCATTTTATCTGAGGTACTCCACAAAGTCACAAATTCTAGAAAAATATTAAAAATGAATAGAATAAATACTTTTTAAATTATCAAAGAATTTTGAATAAATTTTTTGCTTCAGCACTAATGCATTTATTTGCTACTAATATCCTCATCTTTAGGTACTTTGATGGCTGTATTACGTAGATGCCTAAGATTTTATTCTTATGTTCTTAATCCATATCTAGATACAACTCCTTGAAAGTTTTTAGAGCTCCTTTCTGAAACGCTCCTAGTCCTGAGTGAATATATATCAACGACCAGCAGCTCCTATAATATCACTAATTTATTTGCAGAAATTTACTGATCTGAGAGGGACAATACTACTGTCCTAAAGGATTCAGTTAATCTCATCTTTTCATTGGCATCTTGAACTTTGCAATAAGCACTTCCATACACCACTAAGTAATATACACCATCTTTATTAGCTCCTAATTCAATTATAAAAATATATAGTATACCTAGATTCGCCAAAGCTCCTTTTGAAATCAAGTGCTGATATGCCTCTATTCTCCTGTCTACAATAGATCTCGAAAGATCATCTGTACGCTTAGATTTTTCAGATAAGTTGCGATATAGTTGCTTATTTTACTCCACTGTTATATGCACAACCATAGAAGAATCTTTAGTTTCACTTATTGAAATGCATTTGTGTTCTTCCTCTAATTTGCTGTCAACTTCGTCAATTAATGTCAGTATTGGATCGAAAAATTATTATTCCATTAAGCTTAAAATATGAGAGTTCTTTAAGAATAATTATAATCTTAAACTGATTCGTTTTATTAATTTAATATCCACTCTGTCAATACTTTTATAAGTGCGTTGTGGGGTTTTGGGGTTTTGGGGTTTTGGGGTTTTGGGG